CCTTTGCTTATTTAACACTACACTCGGTCGTCGGTTTAGTTACCCTTGCACAATTTTCACTGTATTCAGACCTTACAACGTGTCGCTTTAAGGGGACGCCCTTGCACTTACACAATGATCAAAATGATTCATGTCATGATTTTTTCAACAAGTTTTACGTTGACTGTCGGCTACCTAATACAACCCTTCATTTTTCATATTCGGGTTTGAGATCGACAATGAATGCAAATTAGATATTTTAAAATAGTTTTTTGGTTACATTACTTTTCAAATGCCTTAATATGGGATGAAGGTAAGTGCGGGTGGTGATGATAGATGGTTGGCAAGAGTGAACTTTGGTGATAGATGATGACAGGTAGAGGAGCCCAATTGTTGTGGGGTTGGCAGTTGGCACACATGACATAGCGTGTGGGGGCAACGACTATGACAACCAATGGCTGTGGCAATGATGATGTGCAGTGAGTGGCCATGAAGCAAGTAAAAGGGAACAAAACTTCTTTCATTACTAGGTGAGAAAGGCAAACATTTATATATACATTGATACAGATAGGTTGTATAAGTGGGCCCAAAAGTAGGCACTAAATCCAGACGGTACAACACACACAAAATCTCAAAAAAAAGAGAAGGTACATCAAAAACCAAAACGACCAACGCGCGGAAAAAATTTGGAACGACCCAATTTAGTCCCGCCCCTGCCTCTAGTTCTCGGAAGGGAGCCAACTAACAAATTGGTGAGGTGTGTATCATTACTCGAAGTAACCAAAATATCATCAATTAGATTACTGAGCTCAATTAGGTCTCCATTTTTCTTCTTTCTCCTGGATGTGTAAACCTGTCATTCCTCATTCGAAGATTGATCATTCATATGAGGTGGTAGAACTGTAGTAGAAGGATTGCCAACCGTTGTAACCACAATAGGTTCTAGTATATGTGAAGTATGAGTTGTCGCCTCTGCACCAGATACTTCCTGAATATGGGGAGCTGCAAGGTTCTCCTAATTATCGGTCCGAACACTATTCTTTGTAGGTAAGGATTCTTCAATATTATTTTCAATAAGGTTTGAAGGTATAGGTTGCTCAGCAGAGCCATCCGTCATCACATCAATCGTAGAAACAAAAACGGTATTGGCAGGAAGGGATCCACAGGGGCCATTTAATCAGACCCCAACTCCTGTCTTGTGGTAATTTCCTCCACAGGTTGAGCAACATCAAGTTTGTTGGGAGCGCGTTTAGGCACATGGGGTGCATTAATAGTGTGTTCCTGCTTTTTTCAAATTAGGATGGAGCCTGATTAGGATGGAGCCTGTGACATTTATCAATGGTATGCCCAAACATCTTACAGTGGGTACAATAAAAAGTTCTATATTCTATGAAAATTTGCTGCCAATATCCATTATAACTTGTGCCCAAACAGACTTCAATAATATCAAGTTAAGTAATATCCCTTTCCACAAGTATTCTGATCACAGAAAGCCTGGTTAGATTGAAGGTGGATAGTTTAACTTCATAGAGTCCCAAGTATGGCCCTAATAGAGAGATAATCTGATGATTAAAAAAGTGCAGTTTGAGATCAGGTAGATTAAACCATACTGATACAGTGAGAGATTCATGATTTGGGTCAAAATTAGGAGACAACTTGAGTAACTTCGTTGACTTGCCTACAATATTAAAATATTTTTTGAAGAATTTCCTAGCTAATCTTCAACCACGGCTAACTAATCAACACATGTCTTCAATCAAAGAGTCTCACTTTCCACTTGTCTACTAGTTTGATATTATCAAAACTCTTTCTGATAATTTCCATAGGTGGATGCCCCCACTGAATTTTTCTAATAAGAACGAACTTGCATTTTTCAGTCAGGTTTAAAATTTCTAAATCAGAGAAAAAGAGTGCTGCTTTCTCACATTTCCGAGTTGTCTTCTTAACAAAAAGACAATCACCTGAACCATCACGACAATCCTTGTAGCTTGTGGGGAAGACAACCGCGGACTCCAACTGAAGATTACCCACCACGGGGGCAAAGGAGGTTTTGTCAGGTTCAACCGAAGGAGGAAGCACCATCAGAGCAGGGAGATCCACCTGCTACGACATCCTGATATAGTCGTGGAAGTAGGGAGAGGCGAAGGTGTGGAGATCTGAAGTTGTCGGCGTTGCTACAACTTCCTGATAAAATCGTGGAAGCTGCAAAGACTGTCGGCGTCGAAACAGACGAAAGCGCAGAACGACGCAGACGCGAGCTGACGAAGCACAATATGCGAGGATACAGAAGCGGAGAGACGATGAAACAGAGGCGATGAGGTGCGAGCCCTCTCCTTCGAGCACGAATGAGTCATTGACAGCGGAAATTGCCATTCGAAACCCTAGTAGAGCTTTTGACCGCCGATATTGTGATGATATATCTATCTATATATATATATATATAGTTTAAAGGAAGGACTTGAGGCTATTATTGAAGTACTAGTCTCGACCATCCCTAATGCGCCTAACAATTCGAGTACCACACCCTCCACTCTATATATGTATATATATACATATATATATATATATTCTTGCAAATTTAAAAACAACTTAAAGAAAATGTTTTAGCATGAATTCCCTTAAAAAGAGAATGGAGCATGTTTTTTAAAATTCTATTAAAATCAGATGATATTCTTTTTTGAGGAATAAATGAAAGACAATGGTAGATCATTTTTTGACAAATTGAATTACTTGATATTTAAGAAAACAAAATTCATTCATCTCCTTTGGGTCTGTTTGGTTGGTTGAGTTTTGAGTGCACTCAAATGTAGGTTTTAAAAATTCTAGTGTTTGATTAATTGAAAAGTGAATCCAAAGCTTTTTGAGGAGAAATTTGACATTTAGCTCAAATTTGGTATAATTTTAAATAGTAGGATTCATGTGATTTTAGACTTCACTGCACCCTACTCTTCTTCTTTACAATGAGATCCGTCACGTCTTCCCTTATTTTACACACCCTTGATTCGGTGGAGGTTTCCCTTAATGAGCTTATATAACATCCTCTCATCGTCCATGTCGATCTTATCATCATCACTCCCATCATGCTCTCCCCTCAGATATTGTCATTCAACAAGCTCCCGTTGCATTCTCTCCTCTCTCGTCGCTATTGATTCTATTGATCCTGTCAATATATCCTCTTCGGGTCTTGTTTTTCACACCCCACCAATTCTATCATTGTTTACCCTAGCTTGCTTCTTTCTTGTTCTCTAGGTTTGTTTCAACCAAGCACAGAAAAAATAATCTCTTGAATTTTTTATACACTGAATTTGGATTACACTGCATTTAGAATATCCTTGAATTATGAATATTTGCAACCAAATTACCTCTTAGCAATTCTAATCTTTTTCTTGCCTCCTGATAATGGAAAACACAATTAGGAAAAAAATTACTTTGTAATTCGTATTATGGATGCATTTTTTATTAGGAATTAGGTTAGTGCAAAGCCTGTTGAAGTGAACATTCCTTGCAACTAAAAGTAGATTGATCTGAATATCTGTAATCCGTTACTATCTTAAGAGTAAGAGAGCCATCAATAATATATTTTTTCAATCATTTGGAAAGATTGTAGGAGATAACTTTTGAGAAGAAATTTGTCATGTGATAACTGTTTCTTGAATCGATGATTCAGGAGTCATTATGACATTAGGTAACTATTATATTCCAAAGAAAAGAACAAACTTACCTTAGAGTGAATTGGAGCTGACATCACTGGATTTAGGCTTTTTAATATCTTTAATAATTCTTTTAGTCTTTTAATCTTTTTATTAAATTCTCCTCAATTTGGGCTTTTCTGACTTTATTTGGGTTGTGGTAACATGAGCTTGACCTTGAAGTTTTTGTTATTGATCAAGATATCCCCATTTTATTCTTGCTGTATTGAGTGTTCCATTCAATTTTTAACATATTTCCTTGATGTATCTTGACTTTTTTCCTGTAAACGTACACCGTACATTAACGTAACTTTCTATATAAGCAATATTTGGCCTTGCAGTTGCAAGATAAATAGGTTTTTTCACTTGTGAAGGTACATTTCTCTGTTTATCGGAGGGTTATCATTCCTTCTTCCAATTTATGATTTGGACCAATAGGTGTACATATAATCTTACAAACCATCTTTCTTTTTTGTTTAGCAGATCATTGACAGGTGAAATGGATATCTTCTGATGCAAGCACTTCAACTTTTTGAGCTTCTTTATCCCACATTTTCTAATCAATTATTATATCAGTGATTCTTTTTTTCTTATCAATTTTTGTGACAAGTATATTATAAATGCAGGCCATAAAACCGTAAACCCCTTGTATTTTATTGTTTAATGAATGAGGCATGATCCCGTTGATTTGTATATTGTGCTATAATTATAGTTGTAAATTTTCCAAGCCAAACTATTAAATGTTTAAGACCATCCAATAACTTTCTTGGTTTGCTACCCTAGTTCCAAAATCTTTGAAGACCATATATGTATATTTCATTTCTTTACTCTGATAGGCTCCTACAAATATGTAATTGTGTTTATAAAGAGTGAACTATTTGGAAGAATGGAGGAATGGATAACGCTTACATCTTTATGAATATTACACTTAGATAGGGAGCACAGGAAGAGGGAGAAAGGGAGGGAGCTTGTAGATAGGAATTGATTTTTCCTTCGCGATTCTTATAGGCTCGTCAGCTGGGTGCAACTTTTCATAGTTTTGATTTATATTCAGTAGCTCTACCAGCACCATGGTTTCTAGGTCATGAAATATTTAATGTTAGTTTTGCTTGAGCCAACTTTTAGCATCTTATTCATTGCTATTTTTCCATTCATATATTTTAACTTCTACAAGAAGTGATTTTTCATGGTTGTGTTCATGATTGAGTGATCTCACATGGCATACGTTTATTTTATTCTGTGAATTCTGTAATTATAATAATTATTTGTATTTAATTCTGGATGCTCTGTTACTAATGAATATGTAATGCTTGTCCTTTTCTCTCTATCCAGAGCAATAAAAAAAATGAAATCTCAAACTGAGTCATCTCTTCTTAACGCTGTTCGTTCAGAAAGGGGAGAGAAGGTCCTTGAGATAGATGGAACCTTGACGAGCCAACCTGTTCTTGAACATATAGGCATTTCAACATGGCCCGGTAGGTTTTTCTTATTTTAGCTAGAAATATTTTCCTTTTATCAGATTACCACTGGAAGTAATATCTGCTATTTAACATATGGATTAGAAACGTATTGATCTGTGTTGCATAATTGCGAATTCTTACCAAACTTTTTGAACTACAGGAAGATTAACATTAACTGACCATTCTCTATATTTTGAGGCATTAAAAGTTGTAACTTATGACAAAACAAAGATATATGACCTTTCTGCTGATTTAAAACAAGTTGTTAAGCCTGAGCTAACTGGGCCTTGGGGTTCACGCCTTTTTGACAAGGCAGTCTTGTATAAGTCTGTATCCACGTAAGTAATATTCACCATTTTATCTCTCTTTTGCCTTGGATTATCTTTTTAATTAGGAAACTGGCTTCATACAAGTCTCTTTTGAGATAGCTTATGCTACATGTAGGCCAGAACCAATTATCATGGAGTTTCCTGAGCTAACAGGCCATTCTCGCCGGGACTATTGGTTAGCTATCATTCGAGAAATTCTCTATGCTCATAGATTTATTAGAAAAATCCAGATAGTGGGTGTTGACAAAGAAGAAACACTTTCAAAGGCCGTACTCGGAATTCTTCGATTACAAGCCATTCAGGAAATGTGCTCTTCAGTCCCTGTTCGCTACGAGTCACTTCTCATGTTTAACCTTGCTGATCAGCTTCCAGGTGGTGATCTAATATTGGAAACCCTTGCTAACATGATTATTTCGAAGAGTTTATATCGGACTGATGGATCGAGACCGGCATCTGGAATGTATTCAATTTCTGCTTTGGCAATTTTATCTAATTTAGGGGTTGTATCTCATGTTGCAAGTGACGAGAAACTTCTGGTGGGAGATATTGTGGTCGGAGAGATGACCGACTTGGAAAAAGTTGTAACGGAATCTAGACATAACTTCAAAATGGTCGAAGAAGCCCAAGCCACAGTTGATGGAGTTAAAGTGGATGGTATCGATACGAATTTGGCAGTGATGAAGGTATGCCCCCCATTGAACTCTTTGAAATCCATCATTGATTTGAGCATGTATGTTTGTGTTTTCTTAATGCCACACTTTACTTTGATGTAAGAAAATAATTAGCATAGTTATATGATGAATGACTCGTTATATTGTTTAATATATGTTTCTAAAGATTCAGTTAATCCCAAGCATTTCGCGTGAGGTTGATGGCGGTAATGAAGCCCATTGGTGCTGGGCTATATCCTTGATAATGACACCTTCCATATCTGATCTCCATTCATGGTTGCCTGTCTCTATTTAGTGCCTAGATTTGGTTGTGGATGTCATAGGATTTTTGTTTCTTGTGGAGTTTTGGCTCTCTTCAATCTTATCCAATTACAAGTGTTATGTTTTCTTCCATTTGGGCTGTTAGTTTTTTTTTCTTAAAAAATTAAACAAGTTTTCTGTTTCTTGTGATCTTGTTGAGCTCCCTTCCATTTGGGCTATTTGCTTTTTCTTACAAGATTTTTGTTTCTTGCGGTCTTGTTGAGTTTGATTCTCTGTGATCTTCCTTTGTAGAGGATATAATTGCGACTATTATGCAATTCCACAAATTGTCAGCTTTGGAATAAGGCTATTGATTTATTTCTATTTTTAAATTGAAATTTCTAGGATGGTTTGTGATTATAAATATAGGGTCTGGGGCATAAAGAAAACATTTTATTCTAACTACTTTAACTTTATTTTGAACCATAATTTTTGGTTAGATGTTATTCCTTGCAGCCTTTTTCTAATGCAATCAATGATTGAAGATTTCTCGTTAAAGTCATCTCCCTTATAGTTCCATAAGGCTTGATTGTACTATTTGGTGATCTTTTCTTGCCTTACTGGTATTTAATTTAATTTCTATTTTTCGATTTGCATATGATTAAGTTTTTGATATTTGGTACAAATTGTTTGATTGTACTGTTTGGTGATCTGTTCTTGCCTTTTCATATTTTTTCTAGTTTTCATTTTTTTTTCTTTGCATCTTGATTAAGTTTTGTGATATTTAGTATAAATTGTTTTTCGATTACTCGAGATCTCTCATTGAATTATGGTTTTCGTGTTTTTTGAGTTTTCATGCATTTTTTCTAATGCACAACGATTATATTACCTTGTGTACCAAATTTATTTATGTTTTTTTAATTGCTTTTATTCTAATTGAGGGGATCGTTGTCTAAATTTAAAGTTTTTGAACTGCTTAGTTTATAATTTTGTGTGATTTTGTGTATTTTATCTTAGATTTATATTAGAAAACACTATGACCTAAAACATCCTGCATCAATTTTGATATTAGTGTTTAAAATTTCATGATAATCTTTGAAGTAGGTTTTAATAATTATGTCAATTAATTAAATAATAAAATAACAAAATAACACTATTTAAATGAAATAGCTTGGGTTATGGTTCTAATAAGATCAGTACGAATATGTCCTTGTGAAATCATAAATTCCTAATTTTCATTATTCTCGTGCAATGACAGCACATGATACGATTATTCTTTTACATCATCACTATTGGATTGCCCTTGGAATGTGATTATCCTTCTTTCTTAAAAATTATTGCAGATTTTGAATTTCAACTATGATCAATCGCTTCAACTTAGTTTACACTCAACACCAAATTTATCCCCAAAATGTTTAAAACCGGATGATACGTAGCATCCAATTCTTATGCATTTATGTATCTCACACCAAAACTTCGATTTTTAAGAATACAACACCTTACATATGCATGAAAATGTGGATTTCACTGTTACACTGTTGAAAAGTGTGAATTGGGTGCTGGGTTTGTAAAAATGAGAGTTTTCATCTGAGATGCGTAAATGCATAAGAATTGGGTGTTGCATATGTAAATTCCCCATTTAAAAATCAAGTTTAGATAAGTCATAAAAATCCTATTATCTATTTTAAAAATATAGTTTTAAATCATTTGCTTTATAAAATGAAATAGAAATACATGAAATGAGAAAAAAAACTAGAAAAATCTAGAAACTATGAATTCTTGAACCTCTCTTGTGTATCATCAATTCTTCTATTCAATAACCACTCTAACCTACACTATTGCATGCATCTTTGTTCTTCCTTTAATACCTCATCCTTTTATTTTAATGATTAATGAAAAGATTTTCATGTAAGAAAAAATTTTTTTCATATTAAATTAAAACACAAAATTTGAGGAGGCCTAACTTCAAAAGATATGAAGTTATGATTTATAATAATTAATCAAACTATGAAGTATATCATCTTATAATATTTAATTATTTTATAATGAATTCTGATTAAATTATTATTTAAATAATATTCTATTTTAAAATGTGCTTCTTTCTTATAATTTTTTGTTTTGCTTATATAAATGTATTGTAGTGCAATTAAAAATTCTCTTATTATTTGAAATATAGATATATTTAAAAACATTAGATTAAACATTTATGATTGATTGTTTTGATAAATTCTATTTTTATTTCATTATAATTTTTTCATTTACTTTTCTTAATTTTAGCATTGAATTTTTCTCGTTTTTTATATATTGATGCCACAATAAGTGTGTTATGCCAATGCCTAACCTAAGGGTAATTTTGTCTTTTATGAGCTTAAGGGCAATTGAGTCTTTTAGTAATTATCATTGTTTAGTATAGATAGACCCCAATAAGTTTAGGGTTGGGTAGACATGAGATTATTGTGGTGAGTCTTAGGCTTAGGGTTTGGGAGAGATTTCCTATCTCTCAAATTGTAGGAATTGGGAGAGATTGCCTACCACTCAAATTGTAGGTGTTTATCTTTGTATTTATGTTGAGTTGTTTGAATTATTTAAGAAGCATAATTGCTTTGCCCTATTTTCTATGGAAATTCGTGCCAATTTCTACTTTGGATCGTATCAAATTGTTATTAGAGCTTTTGATTTCTGGGAAACCAACAATTGGATTGCTGCATGGAGGAGTTCCGTCACCTTTGTGACCATATCTTGTGATACAGTCAACCGCGAGCTAGCTGAGAAGCAAGCGACGGGCTCGCAGAAGGGAACAACATACTATAATCGCAATTGCGAGATCACAACGATCCAGTGGGACCGAAGATAGTGATACAGTCGCTATTGGAGCTAGCTGCTTGTCTCCTTCGTGATTGAACCTTGTGATACAATCACAATTAGGGCTAGTTGGGAAGCAAGTGACGGGCTTGTAGAAGAGAACACCACACTATAATCACGATTGCGAGTTCGCGCTGCTCCCACGGGATCAAAGATAGCGATACAGTTGCTATTGGACCTAGCTCCTATCGCCTTCGTGATCGAACCCTACGATATAGTCACGATCAGAGCTAGCTGGGAAGGCGACAACAAGATCATATTAGTGCTACGTCTTTGTGATCTAAGCCTTGCGATATGTCGTGGTTTGATTTATTTGGGAAATAGAAAGGATCACAACGTACAATGATCTTCGTGATCAGATCTTGCACCTTTGTGATTGATCTCCTATGTGATCGAACCTTGCACCTCTGTGATCAATCACCTGCATGACCGGATTGCGGCCTATGAAGAGCTAGAATTTTGATCATTCAGTAATTTTATGAGACCTATAACTCTGATCTTTCAGGAATTTCGTGCCACTACATCTTGTGACCGAACCTTGTGATCAAGATTACGACGTATAGGAACGCCTTGCGAGTTAGTGGAAACCTTCGTGATTGGAATTCATTTTGAGAGATTACAACAAAGTAGGTAGATGATTTGGAGAAGAATTTGGAGGGAGAGAATAGCCAAACTAAACCTTGGATGGAAGAAAGACTCTCCACCATAGAAGGAAGGTTTTCCTCCATGGAAAATTGATTTAGGCACTTGGAGGAGATGAAAAGGAGGCTTATTGAGATGCGATCCAAGATCCCGTCGACAGATCAGTTTGCAAACCTTAACTAAGGGTTGATTGAATATTCATTAGCTAACTCGAAAGGAAAGGAGATTGGATGAGAGGAACATGAGAAGGAAAACATCTACCATCAAGTATCTCCGCCCAAGGCTTCAATGAGTGGGGGATTAGAGATTTTCGACGGAGGCAATTGGGCCAAAACATGGAGAATAGGTTATGCAAGGGCTAGGGAGGAGCATGATAAAGAATTGAGAGAAACCGGGATGGGGCATTACTATGATTGAAAGAGGGAGTTTTCCCTTGATACATGGGGGAAAATAATTGAGGGAGAGGAAGTTGGGGTGGTGTTATCAGGGTTAGGAAGTTGAAGCTGCCAATTTTTAAGGGAGAAGACACACATTGTTGGGTGTATTGGGTGGAGTGATACTTGCTTTGAATATGCTAGATGTGGAAGTCAAATTCATGACGACAGGGTTATGTTTGGAGTGGGAAAAATCCTAGCTTGGTTTCAATCAAGGGAGGCTAGATGCCCGATCCATTCGTTGGATGAATGTAAGGATTGTTTGTTAGAATTTTTATGAGTAGTGGGAGAAGGAGATCTACACGATCAATTTTATGCCTTGTCTCGGGAGGAGAATTTTATAGAATATAGGGAGAGATTCAAACTATTGTTGGAACGACTAAGGGGGTTGAAGTAGGATTGGAGGGAAACTTCATGAAGGGCCTAAAGCCCGAAATACAGGCGACACTCAGACTATTGAGACGACAGGGAATGAGGGAGATGATGGAGCTAACCCAAATGGTGGAAGAGAAGAACCATATGATGTAAACAAGCAAAATTGACACCATGGAAGGATTCTAGAAAACCACCTCGACGACCATGATACTTAGGATCTAGACAGTATCATTTTAGAAGGAGATGCCAAATGAGAGAAATACGCGGGTCTGTCTCGAGGGCAACTTCAAGCACCTCACAGAGTCAGAGATGCAGAACAAAAGAGCAAAGGGATTATGTTTTAGATGTGATAATAAGTATGCCTCTTGCCATCGTTGCAGGGATCTCACGCTCCTGGTTATTTTAGTTTGTGAGGGGGTGGAGGCAGATAGCAATTAGTTGGAGGAAACATCTTCATTTCTTTCACCTTGATGACAAGGTGTCTTTTGGGGGGTAGTATTGTTATGCTGGTGGCTAGCCTAAGGGCAATTTTGTCTTTTATGCGCCTAAGGGCAATTGAGACTTTTTTTATTTATAATTGTTTAGTATAAGGTTTAGGGTTGGGTAGACATGTGATTATTGTGGTGAGGCTTAGGTTTAGTTTTTTGGAGAGATTTCCTACCTTTTGAATTGTAGGAATTGGGAGAGATCGTTTACCACTCAGATTGTATTTGTTTATCTTTGTGTTCGTGTTGAGTTATTTGGATTATTAAAAAAGAATATTTGCTTTGCCCTAATTTCTGAAATTCATGCCGATTTCTACTTTGGATCGTATCAACATGTTAATATCATCGTCAATGTTAATTCTACGAGGGTAGAATCGGAAAATATTTTATCTATGATTAAGAGTTTGACTTATATATAAGCTATGTAGTAATTCCATAGGAGGGGACAAAGTTGGAAAATGAAACTAGGCCCTCCTATAATCCTGTGTGTGTGTGTGTGTGCGTGCGTGTGTGTGTGTGTGAGAAAGAGAGAGAGAGCGAGAGAGAGACTTCATATGCTCATAATCTCCATAATTTGTCAGATTTCTTCATTGTTTTTTCTTTGAGAAATATGCCTAAAGTTCATTTCAGATTGAAATGCCTTTCTTACATAAACATACTAGTCATAATGTTCACCTGAGAGTCACACAACTTTTGGTTCCAGCACCTTTTCTGTCTCCACTTATTTCAGAGCTCGTATAGTCGGTGTGCCGTAAAGCTTCACAATGATGACTTTTTGTTTGAGCCATCTTTTGTAGGTTATAATATGAAAGAGGCTATAGGAGAAGCCTGTTCTAAAAAATTGAACAACATATGAATTGGGTTCGAACCTTACTCTGATTATGCCTGTACTTTACTTAAACCTTGTTCGATTAGGTTAGAAACATTGCTGAACTTTGTTTGAAGCTTTTTCGATCTTTGTCAAGTACGAATCATGTTAAAATTGAGGTTTGAATTGAGGTTTGAAAGCAGTTCAGTTTGGTCAATTTTATTTGTGACATACTTCAATATGCTCTGTGAATAAAAGTGGGGCTTTTTGGTTTAAAATAAACTTTTGGTCATATGTCTTCAAAAAAAGAAATAATGGGGATATTTGGCTAATTATGACTATTATGAGTCAATGAAAGACAAATTTTCTTAATATATTTATTTATATAAAATATGATTTGATTGCGATATTTTTATTTTTAGTCACTATTGATCAATTGTATTTAGATTTTGCTAATTGTTTTTTTTCATTTTGCTTCAGGAATTGCTGTATCCTGTTATAGAAACTGGAAACATGCTATCGCGTTTAGCTAAATGGGAAGATCCGCTCAGGTCCCTGCTGTTCTGTTTAATCTTTAGCTTTATTATTTGCAGGTTCGTACATTTTTCATATTTTTATGTTCACAACAGATCTATTTGTGGTGAAGCTACTTTCATTCGTGGGTATATTGATTATTCAATTATGATCTTCGACTTTATTTGCTATAGGCATTTTTTTACTGTTGAAGATCTTTAAGATCTACTTTTAAGAAATGATATGCATAGATGTTTAATGATGGCAAAATTTATTTAATCTTTTATGTATGGCTCTAATGTGCAAAACATTAGCATCTAATGTGTATTTATTTTAGGGGCATTTACCCACATAGCAAATACTTATTATGTATTTACATGTCACACCTAAACTTTCATTTTTACACAGTATTCAAATCTTTAATATCATATAAAAAATAACACTGTCACCACTTCTAAAAAGTGAAATACATCTTTTCATGCATAGGTTTAAAGCACTAAGTGCTATATATATAGTGCAAATATGAATGTTCAGGCATGAAATGTGTAAATAAATAATAATTGTGTACTAGGTATGTAAATTTCTTTTCATTTTATCATACGTAATCTTGTCAAATAGAAGACCTTGTTACCCAGCTCCTTTATCCTGCTCCTGTCTGTGGGAAAGACAATTGTTCTATTCTATGTGCTTTTGAATTGCCTCGAGCTTTCTGATCCCAGTTATGAATTGTTGATCGTGGTCTCTCTGAGTGTTTTAAGTTTCACGCATCTTAGATTTGTTTCTGTTTAGATTGAAAATTGTAGAAGTACTTTCTTTATATTTATTCATAGCTATTTATATGCTCTGAGATATTTTAGTACGTTTCAGCCAATTGTATACATTCTCCTATTGATGCTGGCGTTGCTCCGATTCTTATGTTGAATTTTATCCAGGTTCATTTATATTTTCAAATTGATTAATAGTTGTTTCTTCTATTTTACTCATTGAATTGTCTTTGTTTTGTTTCATTACTGCATCATCTTTTTTGCTGCTTTTTTTTTGCATTAGTTGGAAAGTTCTCCTTTCCTCCACGTTTTTTGTAGGAAAATGTGAAGCAAGAAGAATCGACTGGAGATGTAATTTATCCTTCATCAAATCAACGTAATGTGTGCATGTCACTATTCATAGATCTTTCTGTGAGAAAAAAGTACTTGATCTATACTAAATAGAAACAAATATACAACATTATTTCATCATATTCTTGGTCAAAAAATTACGAAACCCACGTAATATATATGCAAGTATCTTCCTATTATAGACAAGTTAATTTAATAATTAATTCATTAACTGGACTATACAAATGGCGCTTTGACAGTACAAGTACTAATGGATTCTTTACGAGGAGCATGTGATTTCAATGCTTGGATCTTTTTTTTTTTTTTGGTGCTTGGGTTTATGTCTTTCAACACTCCCGTAAGTTAGTCTATTAGAGAATAAATATCTTCCTTAAATATCTTCCTTTACCAACGTAGAATTATTATTGAGGATTTGAGTCTCTTGTAAAGATGTTGACAAATGCCTGCATCTTCTGCCCATAAATAAGGGATGGGATTTTTGTCTTGTGTCGAGTTCGGGTGAGCTTAGCAATACTCGGTTCAGTAGTTTCCCACTTCAAAGGGGGTCGGCCGACATATGATTAGTTATTTCCTAGTTAGGAATAGAATTAGGGTTACTTTTGCTTTGGTAGTATTTATTTATTGCTTAGAATCTGGTTTTGGGCTTTTTGGCCTGTTTTATGTTATTCTTATCTCTCTATTTTTCTGTGCACTTGGAGTGATGTACCATCTTCTCTTTTAGGCGGCGTGACTATAGCTTGATTGAGAACATGCCGTGGATCATCTCTGCCTTTTGAATACTGAATCTTGCTGATTTTCTTTCCCTTGGCTGTTTTGGAATTTTGAATCCTTCCCAAACACATTCATTTTATTTATTTTTCCATCTGCTCTCACCCTACAAGCACCTTTATACTTCCTTTGATTCTTACACACTTATGAATTCTAGGTCCATGTCATTTGATATCAAAGCTAATTTCTATCCCGAATCCGATATCCATGCGTAGATCCAAATTTTATATTCCAAATCTCAAATCTTAGAACCTTCAGTCAACTGTAGATCCACAAATTTACATTATCCAAAACCCTAAAGTGATGAGCAAACAAGAAGAAACCATTAACACTTCAAGATGACTTGCTTTATACATTGTCACAAAGCGATGTACGTTTCACACTTTGCAAAATTATATTTCAAGGTAGATAATTCACTTTCATTGCATGCCCATGACCGTTACTTCAAATAGAGATGTGAAGTTTTTAAATCACTTTTGGAGGACTTTACAGGGCAAGTTAGGTACAAAGTTTTTGTTCAGTTCAACTGTGTATCATCATATTGATGGATAGATGCAGGTTGTGAATCACAATTTGAGAAATCTCTTTTGATGCTTTATGATAAAATATTTGGCAACAAAATTCGGTTCTTCATCAGGTTGCCTCAAGGTGTGCATTTGCGCAATCACGAAAAAATCAGTGTCGTGGTGTATGCCTCGCTCAATCCATGCATTGCATATGCCTTAGCATTTGTGAAGTGCACTATAAGGTCTGTTTTGTCTCATAGAAGCTGACGCGTCCGCCTCATATACTAGGTATTCTATGTGATCGTTTGTTTCATTTGAACCAAAGCCTTTCATCTCTTGCCAGCCTCCCGTATCACATCTCTTCATGCTCGGATTGCCCCCTATTGCACTAGTTGACGTTGCCGCCGCCTCATAATCCTTTTGCAGTCGGCGCCGCCACAGCCACCTGATGCTTCAGCTATGAATTGCTACTGCACCTGTAGCTTGATGTTGTACCCACTGTCGCCACACCACCACATCTTCAGCTATGACTTTACTAATGGAAAACGCCTCAATACCCAATTGCATAATTTTAAACATTGGATCCATTAGTTACTCTATTGACGAAGCTCCGTCATCCTATTGGAGTTAGTGCTCATACTACCAACTTCTGAGTTTAGTATTGATGTAAAGATTATATTCAGAGAGATCTAGACTTAACATATGCAACTCAGGAAAGAAATGCTAAGCTTAATGCTAAGTATAAAAAACATGAACAAGTCTAAGAAGATTATGTTTTCTAGTAAGAAGATGTAGTGTGGATTAAATTGAAGAAAAAGAGCTCTTCTTCATGTTCTTTTGAGAAACTTAGATTTAGAGCTGATGGTCGATTCAAAGTTTGTTGGTTGCTAGGTGGAGGGGAGAGCTGCACTTAGGATGGTCGTGGAAGACGGGATTCATGTGGGGAGCAGCAAGGTGGTTTTCATGCGAGAATAATCAGAAGATGCGAAAGGTGGAGCTGCTGAAGCAAATCAGTCCTATGTGAGGGAGGAGTTTGTGTGCAGTTGGGTTGTGCACGAGTTTCTCACTTGAACAAATTAGGCCTAGAGACGTGCAAAGGAGTTGCTGGAGAGGTGGTTTTGCAGTTGTGCGCAAAAAAGATAGAAGAAAACTATAGCAAGTGAAGAGAGAGGAGATGGAGCGATGTGCATTTTTTTTAGAATAGAGGTAAACGTGAGAGAGGGAAAGGGAAAGAGAGTGAATGTTCTTTTTTTCTTTTTTATTCATTTTTTTGGTAATAAAACACTGCAAAAATTAGGAGTAGAGCGTACGGGCACGGGATGTGTAACGACCTAGCCTGATAGCTTAGAATTAACTAAGTCAGAAACTTTGGTCGGACTATATTAATATTTAATTTACTTTATACTTTTTTTTGTTAGAAACTTCCAATATATAAAAAAACCACTAAGAATTCACAAAGCACAATACACAAATTCAAAACATGCAGAAATAATAACATACTCTGTAGACATCTCAAACCATCATATAAGTGTATATCACTACTCTGAAGAAAACAATGCAAAAAGAAATTATAATCATAACATAACATGATACCTATCAACCGCAGTTCTCCTCTTGTAAACTAAATCCCTCGTGTCAGATATATTAATCTACAGTTTTTTTTTTTTTCTGAAATAAATAATTAAATTCAACAGTAAGTTTATCATAAGTTAGTGAGCAATTATAATCTTAATATGCATTGAATTTACATGCAAATGCTTGTATGAATGACAAAAAAAAAATTCATTTCTATATAATTTGTAAGCTTTCATTTTAAATTATTTCTTTCTATTTTAATTTAATTTTTTTTCTTTTCTAATCTCTTTAAGAGTCATAATATGATTATCGTCATACCCGAAGGTATCCTCAAAATTGTACCCATAGGTACCCCCAATTTTTTTACCTGAAGCTGCATATTTATCATTTTCTTTTTCTTTATGGTGCACAGGTAAATCGTATCCCTTGCCAGTACCATCTGAGATTAATCCTAATTGACTTAAGCCTTTACATTTCACTTCTTTGAATTACTTTTCTTGAAGGTCATTGTAATCACCATTACCCTTTTGAATTTTCACTTCATTCGTTTCAAAATTTTTTTAGTTCACAACATATCTCTGATTATAAAAGCATTTTATGAAGCAATGATGCAGTTATTTTTTAAATAACATCTTAATTTAATACATAAAGAAAATAATTACTCACATGCTTAAAAGACTTGTAAAATCTTATTCCTTAACGTCACTCTTCTTGGCTATCACCTATATCAGTTAAAGGTGCATATAATTATAGAATCACATCCTAAAATAAAAACTTAAATATATCTAATCTATTTAAATATATTTCTTTCAAATATCTTTTGAATCGAAAATTCTCACTAATACTACTCATGAAAACTTAAAATCTATCTAATGGCGTATAATTAAAAAAATGACGCATATAAATAAGTATATAAATCATTATCATAAAAAGTTTGGTTTACGTCCCTGCACAAGATTCCTCTTTCTCGCTTACAATTCTATTTGATTTATCATCAAATCTTCTGTATTCAATATTTGATTAAGTTAAATGTATTATTAGCATTCAGTAATTTAACAATTATTTCAATTCCAATAATTAACATCATAAATCCCTAAATCACCTTTGTCCTTGGCCACATAAATTAGAGCTTGACTCTCAACTTTACCATAAATATATTGAAAACTTAAATATATTTCTTTCAAATAGCTTTTGAATCGAAAATTCTCATTAATACTACTCATTAAAACTTAAATTCCATCTAGTGGCGTATAATTAAAAAATGACGCATATAAATAAGTATATAAATCATTATCATAAAAAGTTTGGTTTACGTCCTCTTTTCCCCTTACAATTCTATTTGATTTAGCATCAAATCTTTTGTCTTCAATATTTGATTAAGTTAATTGTATTATTAGCATTTAGTAATTTAATAATTATTTCAATTCCAATAATTAACATCATAAATCCCTAAATCACCTTTGTCCTCGGCCACATAAGCTAGAGCTTGAATCTCAACTTTACGCCTGACGATTCTTCCTCTTCCCTCGTACAAGAAGTTTGCATGACCTTACTCCCTCAAATTTGGGACTTAATAGCTTCGATACTAACTTAATCAAACTTTTTGTTAACATTAAGCAATTAAACTCACACTCACATATATATTTTCATAAAATTTATTAAATATCTTCATGAAAGTATTTAACTCACTTTAATATATTTTGGTTTGCATTCACCAGGCTTACTTTAGACGTTGGTTTTCCTTTCTCTCAATAGAATTGTACACTCCCTTCGGCTTCTTCCTCTTCTTCCTTTACCTTCAATCGTTGCTCGATGCAACACATGCATGTAGCCACCCTACTCTATCCTCATCTTCCTCTACACACGAGCATGGCGTCATCGTCTCCTTGACTAGGGCTCAACTTCCTCTTTCTCCCGCACTAAGTCCTCCGTCCTCTTTACGCTCTGACACGGCTCAAACCTGCACTAGAGTTGCCCGACTAGGGTTTGAGGGGCCGGCTCTCCACCCTGGCTTCGACGCTTCCTCCCTATCCTTTCTTCCTTCGTGTGCCGCAATTGAAGTTGAAGAAGTTCTATTAAGGCATGACTTGCCTTCCTTTTACTCGAGAATTCCTCATTTTCTTTCTCTTCTTTGTCTCCCACTTTCGCTCACTTGTTCTAATCTTCTGCTTCCCTTGGATTCGAAAGAGGCACTCGCTGCATAAGCAAAATCGCACGGATGGCTACATCTCGTGCTGTTTCAAAATTTATTTTTCTTTTTTTTATATATTACTACTATTATATTAATGATTATTATTATTGTATTAAATATTCAGTTATTATTATCTATATATGTTTTGCCGCTCAAAGTTCATAACTTTGTCTTGAAATCTTGAAATGTATGGCATTAATCTCATGCTTACGTAGATTTGTATTTCTCCTCTTGTAGAGACTCACCAAGTATTTGCAATGTTTCAAGCGTGTTGGCATTTGATTGTTTCACGAACTGACATCAATTGGGCAAATTCAATGGCGATTGAAGCAGTGTAAACTTGATGCTTGCATCATGTTCATTGATTGCCGTCTTCGTTGGATAAACACTTCGTAGGTATTTTCAATGTGGTCGTCAAGTTATGAATTATATAGAGGTCAACAATTATTCTAACCTGAAGACTAATCTAGCATGAGGGCTGTCTTTTAAGAAGCAAATACATTTCATAAGTAGCTTTTGCCCTTCACTCGCATAATGAGTATTACTAACTTATAGGATTGTTTCTCAATTCCCTATCTCCATGTAAGATGACCTTTTTTCATGATAGACATTTATTTAACCCCCCAAATTGAGGTCAATAATGCTGGTTTAATGATTGCACTTTCGGTACTTTGATTGGAATCAAAGAGCCCTAAAATTGGAGTCTTAATTTTGTACTTGGGTTCAATCAATTTCCTTGGTCATGTTGGGTCAGGCCTAGGACTTAATTTAAGCTTAAGGTCATAATCAATAATATTAGGACTCCCCAAGATTAGTCTTAATTCACTTTTCTTGATTAGTCAAAGAGGTCGACGTGACATAATTAAATCCTCAATTAAGAGTGCGCGACGTGATTTTGCTATGCCAATAATTCATTATCCATAGCTAGGTTAGGATCTTCTATTTAATTAACCCTAGATGAGGAAACTTAAGATCCTAACAAGGTTTCCACCATCCCCTGATCTCCTTGTATGAAGCAATATTTCTCTTTATTGTAGAGTAATTTGCACAAATGAATAAATCAAAATTAAAATAGAACTTTGTGACTCCTTAGCATTTATCTATGACAATAAGAGGTAACGTCCATCAAGATTGCACCCATGTGAAATTTTGCACTAGAAATATGAAATGTTTGAGAGGGTTATGAAGTGCTTTATATATCTTCTAATCTACCTATAAAAAAATTGAGTATCTTAAGCTCACATATCTTTATTGACTACTTGGAAAACTTCTATTTCAGTTTTTAGAGGATACATGGTTTAAATTCTTGATGTGTAGTCTCTTTAATATAGGGATTTCTAGTAGCATTGCTGGCAAATGTTTATTCTTTCCATTTTTGGAGTTGATATAGTTTTTTTCTTTATCTTTGGAGTTCACAGGGCTCATCTTGCAACTGTTTTCTTTATCCGGTAATATAGCTTTCTGGTGGCTCCACTGGGGAAGGATTTTCTTTTCATTTTTAGAGGCTTTAAAACTAACTATAAATACTGTTGCGTGGATTCGAATTTTTATTGACGGGTTTTTTTTTTTTTTTTGAGTAGCTTGGGGTACATAAAACATGTCGGCCATTATATGTTTTATTTGAGCATTGGTTGCATGAGGATTGAAGCCATCTCATTAGCAGGCCCCAAACACATAAATATGCACACGAAGCATTTCAAAGCACCATTAATGTGCGAAGACTCCTTTCATACTTCTCATTGTATGTAAATTGTCTTTTATTGTTTTGCTTGTGTGAGTTTGGGCTTTGTTTATGGAATATGACACTCTTTTTGTACTCTTTCTTATTATAAATGATGAAAATGTTGTGTATATATTTTTAGCTAGCCATGATTACAATAGCTCTGTTCTCATCATCTTATTGTATGATTTGTTCTTATGATTTTTTCCATCTGCGTGACCATGCTATTCAGGATGATGTAGACTACTGTATGTTATCAAACTTCATTTCTTGGTCTTGGTTTGTTAATTTTCCATGTAATTGTATTTTCTAATACACAGCTGGATGCAGGGGATGGCTGGCCTATGTATTTGTGGCACTGTTGCTTTTTATGGCAGTTTTTATGCTGCTTACCAGATTTTACAATCGAGGAAGGCCTATCGAGGCGGTCAAGGTGAAGGCTCCCCCAGCAATGAATGCCATGGAACAGCTCTTGGCCGTTCAGAGTGCTATTTCTCAGGTCGAGGAGCTTGTGCAAGATGGAAATGTAGTTCTACTGAAGTTACGAGCTCTACTGCTCGCTATCCCTTCTCAGGTTTTTTATTTTTTTCTCCCCACCTACTTTTGTTCTCTCCCCTAACATGATGTTCACAAATAATTTCAAATACAAGCCGAACACGAACACACAAAAATTCGAATGATTTGATGTCAACACATAATTAGGGTTGTAAATGAACCAACGCACTTGATGAACAACTTAAGGCTCTGTTTGACGCAGCTTCAGATTCCTAGCTTTTCAACTGCAGCTGCGCTGCCACAGGAATCTGCTGTGGGGAAGCTAACTGTCTGTTTGGTGCAGCTGTGTGAAAACAACTGTGTGGCAGCTGTTTTTGGAAAAATAACCGTTTTGTCTCTGTTTAGTAAAATTATTTTAAAACAGAACTGTGATAGTCACAAAAGTTCATATACTATTTTCGTAGCTTAAATGCAACTATGCAAAAAATAAAAATAATTGTAATTAGTACTGACAAAAAAAAATAACGATAAGTACCAGGACAACTAGCAACCATGATTGACAAAGTAACTATGATCTTTAGAAAAGTCTGAACTTCATGTTGTTGATAGTACATGATACTCTTCTTGTGAACCATCTCAATCTGTTTGATATTTCAAAAGCCAACAATACTTTGAATGATGCATACCAAATGAAGGATTGAATGTCGAGGGAAAGCAAAAAAATATGATTTAAGAAAAAAAATCTAGCCTTCCTTGGTTACTCCAAAAATTGTGAGAATTGCTGCAGGGGCAGAAGACATTGGAAGCAGCTCTTTGTTGCTCTCTCCGATCTCATAATCAACCTCTAACTGTTGAAATACTGTATCAAAGAAGATAAAGGAAAAAAAAAGTCAATTAATAAAACATCTACCCGGTAGAAATGTAAGAAACAAAGGAATGCAAATGCTTCAAATTATGTATATTCGTGGAATGTGAGAGATAGGAAGGGGAAAGAGCAGGGCGTACTTAAGGAGGGCCTCATCTTGAAGTAAGCGGAAGGCCTCTTCGTCCTCATCATACTTACGGAGGGTTTCTTCCAGAAAAACGTCTTCATCCATTAGGGTCGTCTTCCATCTCGTTGATCCCGTTCACCGCCGGTGAAGATTAAGGTTGCCATTTCCAGGCCCTGGGGTCCGGACTGGAATCTATTTGAAGGGTTTGGAGGAGCCTCGGCTTCCAAGGCACCGCTTTCCACTGTGGCAGTCATGGTGGTGTCGTCGAACAGACAGAGTAGGGCAAAGAAATTGGCAGTGCTTTGGAAGCTTGGAATTGCGTTCCCGCCATGAGTTATCCGCGAGGGACAGTGGAGTGACAGAGCCGGAGGGATGCGGCGTCGAACTGGAGTGATGAAGGTGTAATGCGCGTAATATTCCAACGCTCGAACGTCTGCCGCAGGTTAGATCCGCGACCCGCTTTCCGCTTTCCGCTTAAACAGCCCCGCCGCGCACGGGAAGCTGAACCAAACAGCTGAAATTTGCGGTCCTTCACCGCGCCGCGCCAAAACCACCCCGCCAAACAGACCCTTAAACTCAGCTTGATTAATACTCAATTATGTTTTTTCAAATTAATAAATAAACAAGTTTGAATACTTTTTTTTAAACTTGAAAGTTAAATGAACCAAACTTGAACGTGGTCCAACTTTTTTGTTATTATTCATGAACAAATTCGTTTGTTGTTCAACTAATTACTCTATATAAAATTTGATCAACTAGAACTTATTTAATTATATATTATTAATAATATATTCTAATTTAATGTGAATATGCAAATAAATTTAATACAATTTATTATTATTTTTTATTTCAATAAACTAGTTTGTTAGTATTTATTGCTTGCTCACAACTAATATATCATTTTATTTATTTACTTTAAACTAGTTAGATGTTAATTGAAAATTTATTCAATTGTTTAATTATTTAAAATTGTGAAAATATTTTTGATAACTTCATATAAAAATGAAGTACTCATTCTAATATTTAGCTTTTTTTACTTAATTTTATATAAAAAATCAAAAGCACAAATCGAATTGTTAATTTTATAGGAAAAATCAAAGATTATTCGATTAAAATAAAAAAGCAAGTACAAAATAAGTGAGATAACTAAAAATTTTACTCATGAACAAATTCGTTTGTTGTTTAACTAATTACTCTATATAAAATTTGATTAGCTAGAACTTTTTTAATTCTATATTATTAATAATATATTTTAATTTAATATCAATATGCAAATAAATTTAATACAAATTATTATTATTTTTTATTTCAATAAACTAGTTTGTTAGTATTTATTGCTTGCTCACAACTAATATATTATTTTATTTATTTACTTTAAACTAGTTAGATGTTAATTGAAAATTTATTCAATTGTTTGTTTATTTAAAATTGTGAAAATATTTTTGATAACTTCATATAAAAATAAAGTACTCATTCTAATATTTAGCTTTTTTACTTAATTTTATATGAAAAATCAAAAGCACAAATCGAATGGTTAATTTTATAGGAAAAACAAAGATTATTCAATTAAAATAAAAAAGCAAGTACAAAATAAGTAAGATAACTAAAAGTTTTAATCAAATAAAGTATAAATATATATGTAAAAGCTCGACTCAAGCTCAAATTGAACATAAACAACTTATGATTTGACAAGTCAAAGTCCAATCCTTAACATACTCGACTCAACTTGGCTCGATTACAACCCTACACATAGCTTGCTCGCTCATACTCAGCTCATTTACACCCCTAACCATATGAGATACATGTAGGTTTGCAGATACCCCATAAACTTTGACAATCTAGCAAAGGATTAAAAATCCTATTGTGATTGGTTTGATCTTCACTTAAATACCAATCATTAGGTTCATGAAGAGGTCATTTTTGGATTTAACTTTCAGGAGGAAGAAGCAATAGGTTTTTAAGCAATGCAAAATTAGTTATTTAATATATTTAGCCTCCTTCCAAAAATATTACTTTGTTTCGGTCATTGATGAATGAATAAGTGTAAGATCATCAATGACATACAAATATATATATATATATATATATAATTTAATATGATAATTTTGAATCCTGGCATAAAGTATTACATCCATGCTTGCTAAATTTATGAAAGGCCATTCCTATGTTACATTGTCCATAATAATCCCAATGCCATGGCATTATAACCATATTGTTTATGTTATATTTCTCCCCAAATCCTCTCTTTTTTCAATGAATAATATACCCATCTCAATCTGGTGTTGCAGGCAACCGATAGAGTTATAGTGATATTGATTCTGGCAGCTCTCCCTCTTATTTTACTCCCAACCAAGCTCTTCCTTCTGTTCACATTTCTGGAGATTTTCACAAGATACTCCCCTCCCAGGAGGCCCAGCACAGAGAAATGGACCAGAAGATTAAGAGAATGGTGGTTCGGCATACCTGCTGCTCCTGTTCTCCTTGAAAGAGACAAAGAAGATAAAAAGAAAAGGTAATTATCTTGTATTCCCTTCCACACTTTCTCTCACTACTGTAAATATGAAATGATATTCTCTCTTGTTTGAAAAAAAAAAAAGTAATATTGCAAAGAATATGAGAATGGGAGTTTTGTTGAGTTATTGAAATGCTAGAATGGTTTGAATGAGGAAGGAAATTTCTTGTTTTCAGTGATCCCCATGATCACTACGTAGTAGCATCATTTGATGGGTTACTTTTGTCAATGTGAATTCTAAATTCTTTGAATTTATATTGAAATGATGCAATATGATGGTTGATTGATTGAATTTGTTATTATGATTTGAGGGGACATTTGCATATATTCCACCCAATTCTTATGTATTTTCTTGTCTAACATCCAAATACACCACCCAAGTCTTTCTTATAACATAAAGAAATACCATTTTTTTTAACTTTTTAAAGTGGAATTGCACCTTTTTCATTCTTAGGAAAGGTGGTAGATATGTAAAAATTGAAGTTTAGATGTTTGATAGGTAAGAGTGTAAGAATTGAGTGATATGTACATAAATCTTTGTTATATTCAATTTTTTAAATTTTAAGTAATTATTATTTCAAAAATATGTATAAAAATAAATAAAAATATAATTTTGAAATTTACAATTAATTCTTAAAAAAGGGCATTGGCTCGTTACAGACAACAGGTTTAACAGAAATTTTTAGCACAAAATACCCCAGCCTATATATATATATATA